GGCCGTTTTCTAAGAATTTCACGTTTTCTTCCATTTTATCGAAAAATTCACGAGAACAATAAGTCTTAGATTTCTGCTTCACACACGTGTATAAATTTAAAAGTGATCTGTCCGTAAATAAAAAAAGTTTTTTTACCCAGATGCTCCCTTCTTCTTCAGATGTAAATAAATAGTTTGGAAAATTTGTTACAGGTCATTTTGTAAACAACCGATGACTTTTGATGAGAATAATTTGAGGTCGACCTAATTTTGTCCCCTCATAAATAGACACTTGGAGAGGAGCAAGCTATTACAAAGGAATTTTATCCAATTGATTCGTGTTTGTATAGATAATAGTGTAATGCACTTTGGGCAAATGCTATATTGCTGAACAATAAAGCAAAATTTCTCTACAAAATTGTTGTATTATGAATTGCAATAGCACTAGAGAATTCATATACAATTTTGGTTTTCTGATGCATGGCGAAGTGCAGAGAATGTAACTGTTTGTCTTGTTGTATTGCAAAACAAATATGGCGTTATCATTTTAATTATGATTACGAGATTATAGACGTGCCATTTAATGTATAGATTAGCCTCAATTCTATCAATTCCCCAAGCACTTATTACATAAAAAAGTTTTCGACTGATCGAATTCCTTTTTTTAACCTAACTAATTCATGAACTTGTATTATGAGCTTTGAATAATTTTCATCAACTGTGCTGTAATGCATGGGTAGAAAAGTTGAATTGCATGTTTTCTTCTGAAATCCACGACATTGAAATTTGAATTATCTCCAAATTAACGATAAGGTGTGGTAGGCCATTCTTCTTCTTCATGTAGATTACAAACGCGATCATATACTCTTGATTTTCAGATGCCATACAAATACTTTACTCAACCGACGTATGTATTTTATGCGCTTTCTTGCATAATGGGAGATGTGACAATTTATTAAACTATAGAGTCCCTAGATGGCCATGTTACGCTAATTTTAATTTAATTTATCTATGCGACCATTTCGACGTCATCAACAAAGTCACTCGTAATAAAATATATGCACGGCGACCGCTCCCCAATGACAGACGAAGCTCTAGCACAAAACACGAATTTCACTTTTTCAGTTTGAAATCATCGTGAGGATGGTAAAGAAACGCTATGGGTGTTAGTTTTATGTATTTATTTATGTCAGCAGGTGATAATATTGCGTTTTTGTCACTATAGTAGAGTACAGTATGGTGCAGTACGGTTCGGGCAGAACCGATGCGGTCTGGTCGATGCGGTGCAGTGAGGTATATACGGTACGGAGCAATAAATATATATCATTATAGGATGAATTACAGCCATTTGTGTTATTTAACTCTGAAATTTACAAATCGTCTTCAAAACGTCAAAATTTACAATAACAACAATCATGGGCTTTTAAACAGAAATTGTGATACTTAAATGTTCACTGGAACCTAGCAATTTAAAATATTTTCAAACTTGTGCTTGCTGAAGGAGTCTGTAACTTGAAGATATCATATGAACCTGAATATATTGAGTGTAGACTTCAACAGAAGTTATCAAGATTTGGAAAATATGCACGTTCCCGAATGGCTTGTTATTCCATTTCTTATAAAAATAAAATGAAAGCAGTGAATCTGACTTAAAAATGGAATCTGATTCGTCGAAATGTGCGTAGATCTTTAGTCACCTTTCGCGGAGGCCAAACGGTTGCAACTCTCGCCTTGAGGTCGATCAGGCTTGATTCAGCCACCTCACTGTAATTGGCTGTTATTTAGGAGCCTTTTGCTGGAATCGATTGCCCGATGGGCCAAATCTGCGTAATATAACCGAAACGAGCAGCTGGTCAAGCTACTTTATGGTATCTTGGTCAGAATCTGGTATTAGAGCGAACCACGACCCTCTATCGCTCATGGAATGGTGTGCACTAGTGCGTTTGTTTCAACTAATACGATGGATCAATGTGAGAATTGATTTAACCAATTTTTAGCTTGTGCGGTATTTAAAACTTGTTTTCTCGACAAAAAGGTGAATTTTTTACTATGCTATTTATTATAAACCAGAAGCTGCCGAGGGCATGGGAACATGATTACGGGGTGCAAGAGGTGAAACACACTTAATAAAGAGTATGTGACAGCAAAAAAATCAAAGCCTGGAACTCTATGAGATGATTATTTTTCACATTCTTATCGTAACATAAGTAACTGATATGCAAGCTGTTAATTGGCAGCACCGGCAACAGATAAACGTCCGGTTTTGCCGTCAGGACCTACAAGTTTTATGACAGGTTCAGATCGATACGATTTTGGGCTTGCACTGCTTAACATTGCGATACCAGTGCACTGCCTGCTAACAGGCACTGTGCGATGCTAATTCGGTTGTACAAAGAAGGTCTCCAAAATATGAATATTTTCAGGTCAACGTGATATTGTGGTGCGTATAATGGCCGATTTTGCCCAGGCACTTCCTATCACTACTGTTTTGCCCAGACACTTTTTACTTATTGGTTCAGACGACATCGATAACAAAACCTATTCAATTTTTACGGTTCTTATTTCACAGTTACTTCATTGTATTCGCAGCGCACTATGTTGCAAGACACGTTTAATGTTTAACTTTTACCCCACTTTATTGTAATGCGGTGGGAGGGCGCAGACGCTCACGCCCTGACGTTGCTGACGCCGGCGGCAGTGCTTAAGACGTGTTTCTTGTGTTGATTAGGTGTCGAACGACACACTCTGCTCATTTCAATCGTGTAATCGTGCCACGAAGAGTGAAGTATGTGACTTGAAATTAATTGCCAGTCTTAAAGGCTAAACATCTAAATTCTGAACATTGTTAACAACAAAAATTTCTTATATTACTGTGCAGTATGCATAGCTTCACAAAGTAAGTTCTCTAGAAAACCCGACACCGGTTTGGCGGCTCGCAACTAATGATATAAGAACACACAGTTGAGCTTCCACGATTTTGACAGTAATGGAAATTGCGTAACTTGAGGTATATGTCGGCATGAGCGTGTTATCTTAGATGCTCGCGTTCCTATATACTTCAGTTGTAAATTTTCTGATTCACCAAGATAGCTGGATCGAATTGTGGAACGTAAATTGAGCATTGGTAACAGTCGACGGCGTAGATGAGTAGTTAGGTTGACCGTGCAGTCTTCACCGCCGTGCCGTTGCAAGGGATTTTAGTAAGCATTTTAACATGGACGTCGAGTGTGTTCGTACAGAACTGCTTCGCTGAACGGCACTTGCTAGTGACGTATCGTCGTGAAATAACAAGTTGTTACCTAATTAATTAATTGTGTTACCGCATGGTATGCCTGCATCTGTGCCGGAATGGAATGCAAGCGGGTCTCGCTTTGAATCGCATCACCGCCAACAATACACAATGATAATATTATTAGTCATTCCAACCCTGGAAATATAGTAATTAGCTACCACATTTACATCGCATCATGTTGAAATAGCGCATACATATTAATTCCATGCATTAAAATTGATCGTTGTTGATCCACTAGGCTGTTGTTTGTGAATGTTTCGGGAGAACATTGAGGACTGATAATTGCTGGAGGAATGTTCGGTACTGGGGCCATACTTTCAAAACTGGCCAAGTGAACGTAAGTACTTACGCTCTATTTTCTTGTCTATGATTGGTGGATTTTGCTCGAAAGGCCGTTAATGATTGGCCGATGAACTTACGATATCTTAACTTTTTTTGAAAGCATAGGTCCTGGTGTACATGTGGTAGAATGCTTGGTAATGGTGAATGTAAGAGATTGCATGTTACTGGTCTTATATGAAAGAACGCCCGACATTGGTTTATGTGACAGATTATTTTGCGCTGGTGTATGAGGTGAGCGTTTGTTACCTGGAATAGAGAAGAATATTCGGTACTGGTGAATGGGGCAGAATCGAGCAATGCAAAAGGCAATGTATGGGATAAAAACGCCTCCTCCCTCCCCCCAATATATTAGGGGAAGAGTGGAGGCATTTTTAACCCACTTTTCAGATTAGGCCGTGTCCGTCCCGAATGTATCAGGTGCCAAATACGCGCTCCCCGCACTCGCCCCACGGTTGTCAGGGAATAGACCGAATTCTAATCAGGCGCTTATTTTGCTCGTACAACCTGAGCGAAAAGCGAATATAGAGCCGCTGATTTACGCTCATATCGAGCTTGAGGCGTCCATAATTCAGAAGCTGGTCACCCCTTAAATTTCGATAGGGCATGTCAATTACTGCCAATAAATATCCCGATTTATAAACAAGATTTTTTTGTCTTCCAACTCCACACATCGTTGAAGAAAATTTTTCCATGCGAATGCGATTATAACAAAGCAGAGAAATAAACTAAACTTGAAAACCCATGACGATTTACGGTTGAAGTTTGTTCATTTTAAAGCAAATGTCAATAGACTTACTGACTCCATCATGCTCAGTCATCCCATTAAAATCAAAAATTACGATAAATAGTTTAGGTTCAAATTTATAAGAATTCTGTTTTGAGAAAAAGACGCACATATTTGTTATTTTTCACCAAAATTTCACCCAGCTTTCTATGGTTAAATTTACGTAAAATTTAAAACAAAAAATATCTTAAGATTCTTAAACGATTTTACAGCCTTTTTATTTTTTGTTTTTTATCTTATATCAGTGAAGACTGACTTTTTCTCTTAGAATTTATTTTCAAGCATTGTATAGGGTTCATGATCGTAAGCTGCGGTTGGTTTTTATCTTTGGGACAATTCGTCTATCTTTGATAATAAAAAAATGTCATGGGGTAGACGAGCAAATGAGCTGTCGGCCCCTGGTTTAAAGCAAGTCTGTGACGGCTGGCTTGTAATGTAACTAAGCGCCTGTGACCAGGAATTAAAGGTCATTGCCTGTGAAGGTGACTAGCTGCATAGCTGACTGCGCGTGTATATTTACTTATTTGTATTTTCTTTATAAAGTATAAACACAAAAATTTGATCACATAAAACATTGAATATAATAAGGCGAGTAAGATAATATTTAATATAATAAGATGAGTTGAATTTTGACTCGTTGTTCAAAAAATTGTACATGAATAAATCCAGTTTGATCGAAGTGCAATCCTGAAAATACACAACTAAGGAATTGAATTTTAAACTATATGAATTCAAGAGATAAAAATAGAATCGTTGCGATAAGATAGGAATTAAGGAACTGATATGTGCTGCAGTGAACCATCACGGCGAATGGTGGCTCAACAGTTCAGAATACAATAAAAAACGATTGCAGTGAAATTCGTTGTTTCTGTGCAACAATTGGGAGTAATCATTATCAAAATATCCGGCTGGGGTCAAGATATCATGGGACTCCTGGAAACATATGCACTAATCTCCAACAAATTGATAATTTACCTGACACGGCAAAACTTGGGTTAACCAAGTGAACGAAGTGAACGCTGTTATCTCGACTCCATCATTAATTTTAACGTCTACTCTCTGTAGCAGTTACTCTTCACACCATGCAGAACAGTGTGTATTGTCCGTCTTGAGTGGCGGTACAGGGACGGTCGAACGTCAACAATGGAGTGCCTCCCATTCCCATGCATTCTTCATTTCCGAAGTCTGGGTTGCTGGGATACCACTGGAATCCATAGTCGCTGGGCAGGACCATGGAGCGGTTGCTTGAAGCGTAGGTGCCGTTAGCCTGGCGTTTCAGGTCCACGTAGAACCATCCGAGTTTCCTGATCGTCAAAATGGCACGGTCCTGAAAAAAATGGAGTGGGAATGAGTTTTAAAATTTTTTCATTCGACCAGAATCTGATGAATACAACTTAGTCGCGAAATCTCTCACTGTCCTAACGCCTTCAGTTTGACTTCCTGGGCGATCAAAAAAGGTATACAATCTTTCTGATACCAGTAGAGTCACACAAATGATAGGAACTGCATATTAGACCGTAAGCTATTTTTAGTGTTTACTGACGTAAACGCAAAATAATCCACGACATGCTACTCAATATATAATCGATAAATTACCAGTTTGCGTTTAATCCAGAGATATATACAGTACATGTTCATTTTAATCGGCCTTAATATAGTCCAGTCAGTGGCAGCTGGATCAAAAGTTGAGCACGGCACGGACCTGATTTTTATTTTCATTGGTGAGAACTTATCATTGTAATGTTACTTTCTAAAATGTTCTCATCCTGATCAGCAAATTTTTCACTGGTGAAATCTCGAGTGATTAAGGAACGGGATCTGTGAGTGAAATAGCAATGTTTTTTTTTTATTTCTTTGCTTTTGTAAATTCGAATTAATTACTTGCAATGAGACGAAATAAATTCCAAAAGTTGAAATGAATGAAAGCTATATGTCAAACCTGATGTAATATACCTATAGGTTTCTCTCGTACTAAAATTTCTTTGTTCTAAAAAATTATCAACGTATACTCCAATATGACTGTATCGAATGTCTTTCTGAAGTGTGCAACCGAAGTCTGCTACCATCGTAATGCTACAACTTCCCTGTTATCCAACAGTAGCCCGCCATCATTATATAATGCTCCAACTTCCCTAGCTGTTATCCAACAGTAACCGGCCATCATTATAATGCTTCATCTTCCCAACTATCCAACAGTAGCCTGCCATCATTTTAATGCTTCATCTTCCCAGGTATCCAACAGTAGCCAGCCATCATTATAATGCTTCATCTTCCCAGGTCTCCAACAGTAGCCAGCCATCATTATAATGCTTCATCTTCCCAGGTATCCAACAGTAGCCCACCCTCACTATATAATGCTCCAACTTCCCTAGCTGTTATCCAACAGTAACCAGCCATCATTATAATGCTTTATGTTATTGTTGACCCTCCTCGCCTCGCTTCATGGCGCGAGGCGGGGCCTAGACCCAGTTCTGGGGCCAGCCAAGTCGGCCGCCCTGCAGCGTTTACGGGGTCCGCCCAAAGGTCACCCACCGACAGGGATGTGGGCATTTCAGGGCAGGAGAAAAGATGAATGGTGTCGTGCGTGTTAGACAGACAGAGTGGCAAAGTGGAGAAGGGTGTGTGTCAGGGTCTATTTTATTTAGATATGAGAGAAGTAGCGGTGATTTATTTGTGCGAAGTTGGGCAAGGTTCCTGCGTGCAGGTCTAGGTAGGTTGATTTCAGATGGGTGAATCTGTGGTGCGGGCATGTTTAAAATTTTATTGTGAGGGAGGGTTGCAAGATAGTTTTCTGTAATTGTAGTGTGAATTGTTCTGAGATTTTGTTTGATTGTGTCCTGTGTAGCTCGTGCAGGCGGAGTATCTATGTTGGTGGTGAAACCTGTCTTGTGGAAAATGGTTTGTTTCATGAGACGGTGTGGGTGCGGCTGAAGGGTGAGGGTATGTAGTGGGTGGGTTGGATTTTGTGCTTTCTGTCTGAGTTGTGAGGCGTGAAGTTTGAGGTGTTGTGTTAGGGGTAGGAGTTTGGTTTTTTGGTGAAGGTGGTGGATGTTGGTGTCAGCGGTGCAGCCTGTGGCTACCCTGAGTGCTGCATTCTGGACCGTTTGGAGTTTGTTCATTTGCGTGGGTGATATAATTGGTGACCAGGATGAGTTTGCGTATTCAAGGATTGGACGCGTGATTGTTTGAAATGTGGTTGTGAGTAGTTCTTTTTGTTTTCCCCATTGTGTGGCTGTAAGTGATTTTATTATTTTATTGGTATGGCTTTGTCGTGAGTATTGCTAATGTGACTGCTGAAGGTGAGCTTTGGGTCAAAGGTAAGTCCAAGTATTTTAGGGTTGCGTACTGTTGGAATGAGCGTATTATTGATATTGAGGTTGAGTTGTGTGCTATATTCGGCCGGGTCAGGTGTGAAAAGAGTGGCAGTGCTTTTTGTTGCATTGAGTTGTAGTTGGTTTTCTGTGGTCCATGTGTGTATGGTTTGTAGGTATGGAAGAAGGACTTGTGCAGCAGTGTTATAGTCTTTGTGGGAGGATAAGATAGTTATATCATCTGCATATGTAATTATTATAATATTGGGTGGAGGTGAGGGTATATCTGAAACGTATATGTTGAACAGTGTGGGTGATAGGACTCCGCCTTGTGGTACAACTGTTTTGAATAATTTCTGTTTTGAATTGGTATTGTTGACTTTTGTGAAGCCTTTTCTGCCTTTGATGTAATTTGCTATGTATTTAAGTGTAGTGTGCTCTATTGCAGTTGTGGAAAGTTTGTTGATGAGTGTGTGCAGGTTAACCGTATCAAATGCTTTGCTCATGTCTAATGCTACAGCTATTGTTCGAAGTGGCGGGCGTTGTTGATTGAAACTTGTGGCTATGTGTTCTGTGATATGTTGGAGTGCTGTGATGGTAGAATGGTGTTGTTTGAAGCCATGTTGGTGTTCAATGTTAGGGAGATGAGATGAGATTGTGGCAAGGATAATTTTTTCCAGTGTTTTGGCTATTGGACTTAAAAGAGAAATTGGTCGATAAGATGACCCCATGTTAGTGTCTTTGCCAGGTTTAGGTATTGGAATTATCTTGGCTAGCTTCCAGGTATGGGGTATTGTATTGGAGTTTATTGCGATATTGTAAATTTGAGTGAGGTATGTAATTGCTGTGGGGCCCAGGTGTTTGAGATGGAGTATATTGATGTGGTCTGGTCCAGTTGATTTGTTATTTTTACTGTTTTTTATGGCGAGTGTGGTCATGGCTGTTGTTATATTTATTGGGTTGCCCTTTAGAGATTTAATTCTTCTATCAGTTATCCTGTTGTTGTGTGAGGTTTGGTGCGGTTTGGTATTTATGACTACTTGTTGAATTGTGTTGCCTTCTCTTTGTCGGTATATGCTGTTGTGTTTGTGAATTGTATAGTTTTGCTTGGTTCTTGGCGTGGTGTTTTATTTGAAAGTGATTAGATTGTCTTCCAGAGAATGTGCGTGTTGTGTTTGTTATTCCAGTTTCGATCGAGGTGCTCTTTCCATAGGTTGCGTTTGTGCGTGTTTATTTCAAGGTCTATGTCTCTGTTGAGTTGTTGGATAGCTGGGTCATGTCTGTTTTGTGTCCTGATGTGGTTGCGTTCTTGTATTTCGTCTCTGATGGCTTGGGGTAGAGGTGTCTGTTTTGTTTTTATTTTTCCTTTGGGTATATGGTGTTTGTCTGCTTGTAGAATGAGTCCAGTGAGTATCTTATTGGCAATGTGAACGTTGGTGGGTGCTGGAGTGTCACGGAGCGCTTGGTCTATTTCCTGCGAGTAAGCTGTCAAATCTGCTTTGTGGTAATTTGTGAAAGATCTGTTATAGGTTTTTATGCGGTAGTTGATTTTGGTACGAAAGTGCAATATGATAGGAACATGATCGGAACTGAGAGCTGTAATAGTTGACCATGTTATTTTGCTTGAGATGATGTTTGAGGCTGTAGATATGTCTGGTGACGTGGGTTGCTGTTCTCTTGTAGTGGGTATGCTTGTTGGCGAGTTTTCATTGAGAATGATGTGGTTGGAATTTTATATAAGTGAGTTGATGAAGATGCCTCTGTGATCTGAGTTAGGAGAGTACCAGGATTGGTGGTTGGCATTTATGTCTCCTGTAATAATGGTGTAGGGCTTGTTAAGGAGGAATGTGAAACAGTCAGTGATGTGTTGGTCTAGGTTGTGATGGTGTGGTAGGCGTGTGTCCCTGGGAGGGATGTATATGTTATCTATGTGGACGAATTTGTTGTTAGAGAGATGTATTTTGATTAGTTGGGTTTCAGTGGCTTCTTGGTTGATGTGTTGTGGAATAGTGATAGTTGTGAAAACTATGTTTTTATGAATGTAGATGATGATGATAAGTCCACCTCCTGTCTTGTGAGCCCTGTCTAGACGAATAGCAGTGTAGTCAGGTATAGTGGGTGTGCCAGTCGTTTAAGTTTGGATTCTTGTGATGATGTCGATGTCATGTTGTTTTGTGGTTAGTTTGAGGTCTTCTATTTTGTTTGTGAGTCCATTTGTATTTATCTGCATTATCTTGATATCAGAGGGTGTTTTTCGGAGTCTGATTGGTGGAGAGAGGGGTTGTGTGAGATTGTTAGGTGATGTGACTGGCGGGGGCAAAGGAGGTTGGGGTGCAGGGGCTGGGTTCGGAAGAAGTTGCAATGCTGGTGGTGGCTCTGTATCTGGCCTGGGAGGGAATGGTGGAGTGTGTTGGGGACAGGTCCAGGAATTTATGTATTGACGGAGTGTTATGTTTGTGCATTTTTTATGGACCCAATGTGGGGCAAGACTATTACAGACAACTGAGTAGTATTGGTTTTCTGTGATTTGTCTATTGCATATGTCACACATACAAGTCGGACCCGGGTTCTCCTCGACATCCCCCGCTAGTAGCAACAGAGACGCCGACCACACGTGGGGAGCCGTAGGCCGGCAGCACCAAAAAACATGGGCTTCGGGTCCCCCTCTCGAGGGACGGGGAAAGATTTGCTGTCGATTTGGGCCCGTATCCGGGCCGCGCTCCAACAGCAAGCAGGCCGACAGCATTTGGAGTTTATAATGCTTCATCTTCCCAGCTATCCAACAGTAGCCAGCCATCATTATAATGCTTCATCTTCCCAGCTATCCAACAGTAGCCAGCCATCATTATAATGCTTCATCTTCCCAGGTATCCAACAGTAGCCAGCCATCATTATAATGCTTCATCTTCTATCCAACAGTAGCAGCCATCATCATAGTGCTTCATCTTCCCAGGTATCCAACAGTAGCCAGCCATCATTATAATGTTCCATCTTGCTAGGTATCCAACAGTAATGCAACCATTGTAATGTTCCATCTTCCTTTCCTTACATCTCCTCAAAGTCGTGGTGTAATCGCTGACCTTGCTCTTCAAACGTAGCTATCAAATTTTTAGGAAAATATTGAATAGAGGAAATACACTTGGTAATAGTAATAGCGGTTTCAGTGTTGCTCAGGCCATTAGACTTTCACTGATTTTTAACATCGTAGAATTTGTACAGGTATTACCGAGCGGTTCCATTTGGAACCAGCGGGAAAATGGATTCATAATAAAATCGTAAGATCAAGTAAATATACAAGTGGATGCTTAGGTCTGATACACATCTTGTACGTGTTCTAGCAATGTTTGGTTCTGCTGCGTTTTGGAATTTAGATTTTGAAACTTCAATAAAAATTATAGCGTACTTAGTGATTTTGCTTGTATTCTAGGATATTTAACTAATGATGGTTTTAACATACATATACTCAGTATAAGTACTACTCAGCTCAGTATAATTAGTAAGAGAAACTTAACTTTTATGAAATTTTGAATGAAAATGGCTTTCTTTTTAACCAAACTTTTCAGTATTAGCAATAAACTGAAGTTAATATATTCGCAGCTGTCTGAGTTATCTTGTGAAATTTCAGGAATCTTAGATATAAATGAAATGATTACACATGATCTTATTGAAAACCGTTTCACCGATCGGTGTCGGGACTGCAGTTAATAAACCGAGTCACGACATGGTTGTCATCGAGCGTATGAATATAGCGCCTAACTATAACCTTGGCATCTTTACCGGAGTGTTTTGTGATCTCCTAAATAAAGCGGACACGACGGCCTTACACCAGGTGTTCAGCCACGCTTAGCTTACTCTCATATGCGGCCGGCTCCGTTCTGCTGTACTTTTACCTGAGACATTTCAAAGCATTCCAGAAAATGACTCCAACTTAATTTAACGAGTTTGTCTCTACTGTATCATGACGAAATCCATTGTCATCATAGTTTAATTAGGCACTGAATGTGCAAAGTATCAAGCCAACCCGTTTTGGCATAGACTTTGTAGGCCTGCGTTTTTCCTCGATTAAAATATTATCAATAGTTCTACAAATAAGTACATACCCTGTTGGTCATCGGATACGTCACGAGCCTCATGTTGAGGCTCTGGCACTTCAGGGTCGCTTGCCTGAAATAGAACAAAAAAAAATTGGTTAATGCACTTAAATTACCTTATAGGGTCTGACTGGTATATTTGGTTAACGATGAACTTGTCTGTGATGTTAATTTAAAATCAGGCATAAATGAAACCTGGAGGACAATGGGACTAGTAAAATATTTAATGTGATAAATGTTACCACACATCTCTCTGCCAAGGCGATCGATGCACTGATTTGTTTGTCGTCACTATAATAAACTGTGGTTAAATACATTATTACTCATTAAAAAGAAGTTGACGTGTCCCAGTGTCATCATGTCCCAATGTATCCACGTTTCCCATACTTTATATTAATAGCCAAAATAAAAATGTAGGTGTCACAGGTTTTTATCGACGGCTTCGAGTTAATTTCACATAAATTTGCAATTTTGCCACGCTTTCTTATGCATGGTATTTTATCATTCATTATATGCCACTAGTAATGTTCGTTGTATGAAACTATTTTGATTTTCAATGGTCTAATATTCAAATGCGAATCATCGTTGTAGGAGTAACTCCTTGATCATCTTCTTTCAATTAATCTCTTAAATACGTTCTTAAATACTAAATGATGAGTGGAGAAGTAATGATGAGTGGCGAAATTTCGTCTGATTTTTATAATATAGGTGTTGTTGAATGTTTCCATGTGTCGTCATTACCCTCCTGTACTAATTCATTATTGCCGGATAGAGAACCTTAGGTGGCATTAAAACCACTACGGCCGATCGAAGGCCGTTGTTTCTCAAAAGAAGCTTTTTGAAAGTTCCTCAAAAGTGAAATAGACATAGTAGCAACACTACTACTTTTTAAACATAATCACAGGAAGGAAAAGTTTTTTAAGATTCGGTGCAAAAAAATCGTTTTTATAGTGGGTAGCTTCTGTCTCTGTCTGGACTCGGAGAGTAAATGGGAATGGACCGAATTGACGCTTTTGGGTCAAGCAATGTCAGCTCTAGAAGATGATAAAATAAATTTTAGGTCCGCTTTCAGCTGTCAACTCAGGTACTTTGATCGAAACATTGCTCCCGTCATCACAACCATCGCCCCTGTGGTAAATATCATCGCTTTCGATATCACATTCATCACTCCCGTCATCACAACCAAGGCCCATCTCCCGACAACCACCGGACTTGAACCCGTGACCTATACGCTCCCACTCCTCAATCATCGCATTAGTCCCCGTAACCTCCGCTCACCCCTCACAATCATTGCTTTAGTCCCCCAACCTCCACTCACGTCCCACAATCATTACTTTAGTCCCCGCAACCTTCGCTCCCACCCTCAATACTAAAAATGACTAGAATATAGGCTTAGCAATAACGGCTCTCAAGAAAGTGAATGAATGATAGCTCAAAATTCTCTAATCATATATATGTATGTATAATGACGCTCGTCCAGAAATTATGTATATTGATTTTCAGCAAACAACCTGGTCTTTCTAACAGCTAAGAAGTCGCTATTTGCGTGTATAAGTAGTTATTGTGCATGTAGAAAATTAATTAATTTTCATCAACTTCTTTACGCATAATATTGACCCTTGAAAAGGACTCTAGAGGGAACAAGGCAGTCGAGGAAAAAGTATGGAAATTAAGTAAGATCATCGTTTCAACTGAAATCAACTGTCGATCCAAAGTGTTTTTCTGAAACATATAATGCACGTTAAGTTTTGTACTCACTCCCAATTCAAGTAAGGCGTAGGGATTTCCAGCAGAGTAGAGTTGCCAGCGTAGTTGTTGGTCATGACGTACGCGGCCGACACGTTCGTAGACACATTCCCGACCACCGCTGGGTCCACAACGAAGCGGCAGGGAGCAACCTGTTCAAGCGGTGAAAAACAGATATACAAAATGAGAAACACTTGAGGCAGAGAAATCAAAAATACATTTTTTAACTGCCGATTAGAACTTTAGCAAAGTGAACAATTAAAACACTACATTGGTGTACATATAGTGACCTGACGAAACAAAATAGTTTAATTGGGCCACTCAATGGCCAACTATTGCACCCATGATCTTTTGATGACCCTGGTTTTTATTTTGAATAAAATGAAGAGAACAGAAAAGAAACAATAAGGAAACTCACTATGTCCATCGTACCCAACACGCATAGTGACCCACATAACGTAAACGCAAATGGTCCAGTTTAAGTGTTCAAACCCCACACGAATAATGTACCCAACGCGCATTGGGTCCACCGAAGCCTACTTGCGCGGTGTACCCAAGGCGTTTATGGTCTCAAATTCCCAACGCAATCGAAGTGCTTCCTACTACTACTACTTCCTACTACTACTTCCTACTTAATAAAAAATAATTTCCTTTCAAAATATAAGAAAAGCACTGCAGAAAACACCAAAGCTCAATTAACTGTAGGTTTTTCGTAATTCTAGAAGCATAAATTTTCTAAACACTGTAATAGATAATCCGTAATTTGTTCTTTGCCCTGCAATCAGGTTTAAAAGGTAAGTAGAAGGATAGAAAGTTCATCAGAAATGCATCCCAGCTTTTAAGAAAATATTTATTTCAAGTTCAGTGCAGTTAAAATGAAATTGATTATAATTAGTTCATAGAAATTGAGTCATGAAAAAATTGGAGCTACGTCAAAATTTGATGAATAATTGTATCAAACCCTCAGTCCCCAGCTAGAGGGTATCTGGGTGAATATACAAATGAAAACTGCGATATAATTATGTATGTAAAACACATGATAATCTCGGTAGTCTCAAACTTAAGCAAAAATTTTCACTCGAACGATTTTTAGATAACAATTTAATTGGATACCCGATGACACGTTTCAGCAATGAATCCTAGAACGTTAACCAAACTCGCGAGGCCTGAGCAAACCAATACTTTACTAAGCCTGAGAATTTGGGTTAAAAGATGACTTTAATTATTAAATCTGTCAAGTAACCCATTTAAATAGTTAAAGGTAGGGTATGAAGGGAATTGTTATCAGGCCGTAGCAATAAGTAGTATCTTGTTTTTTTTTTAATAATGATTCATTGATTGTCCGCGTCAAAAATAAATAATAATGAAGCATTAAATTAATATAATTAACTTATTAAGAAAATCAAAATTAGTGAAATTGTCTAATATTACAAGAAATTTCATTATTAAAATTAATTCATAAAAATATTGGAAAATATAATAGAAATGAATTTAATCTACATAATTTCGCTTCTGATTTAGAGGTTCGCACACCGACAACTACAAATTAATTAATTGACTCGTTTGTTGACATGTTTTTCTCATCGACAATAAGTGCGTTGAGTATCATAATGTTGAGTAACTCACGGCATCCACATCCCAGACGATGCCCATGCAATCAATATACTGTTATTACTTCCGCCTTCAACAATAAGTGCGTTGAGTATCATAATGTTGAGTAACTCACGGCATCCACATCCCAGACGAAGCCTCCACATCGCTCGTCCGCGCGACACGCCGCCCCGCATTTGACGACGCTGGCCACGCGGCCGTCGCTCGCGAAGCTCAGCAGAGACAACGCTGACGACAACCCTGTGACCAGCCTGAAGCTGGTCGACGCTAGTACCATCTTGTTCGAATTGCTACTTATTCTGAAGTGGAATATAGTTCAAACATCATTAAGGCGTGCGCGTAGACTCGTGCATCAGTGGCGGTATATTATTTTAATTAAACGCCAGTATAAAAGCACTTACTCCTTCATTTACTCGTATTACCTAATTCAACTTGTCCCTTTAACAGTTTAATCTCACTAACTTACTACTACCTCCATCGTCATGGGTGTTCATTTGAGAATAAATAAAAATTTTTCATTGATTTAAAATTTCTCATTGTTTAACCGCCCGAGTTTTGTTTTGATATGCCGCCCTTATTGCGTGTTTTGATATGCCTCTATTGCATACTTTGTTGCCCAGTATTAAACGAAATTTTTCAGCAGGAAAGCAATAAAGAAATAAAATAATCGCCACAAGCCTTTTTATGGGCTAGATATATTCAGCGGTGCAGGGAACTATAACCTTTGCAGCTACGCTTAAAACCGGCAAATCCGAACTAAAAGTCGCATACATACAACACTTCGTCAAAAAATTAAGGCTGCATTTGTACGAACAATTTGCTGTAGCTAGCGCGAACTTAGAAGCAGCGTGATGGCACCAGTGAATCATTATGAATACTTTTTATACATATCATTATCCTGCATTACAATATTAACGTTATCACATTATTATAGTAAGAATAAGTTCGTTTTTCCATCCTGAAGAGTCCAATTGTTTTTATAATTTCTCTTTTTGGAGTTAAAATGATCAATAATCTGGTTATGCATTCAATTCTCCATAAGGAACACATATTAATTTTTAGGAGCGCCAAAATTCTCTAGCTGGGAAATTTGGGAAGCCGTTCGTTCACAAGCAAATAAAGTTAGTGTCAAATCAATTCCTTTGTTGCTATTGTACTTTAATGCGGCCTCATCAAAACGTGTTATGCACACAAAAATTATGGAGCAAACTTTCTTCCTTTGACGTTTTTAACGTATATTCGTTTACGAAAGATTTGCATACGCAATTTTTCGCTCTACTTTCTTGGTAAAAATCGTTTATGAAGAACATAGGACACGTTATAAAATCAGTTGTACATGGTCCGATAAATATTCAAAACTAAAACGCAGAAACCAAATATGTGTTTACGCGAGATTCAGCGCCAAAATAAACTTAAGAGGACAAATAAATTGACTACGTGTACAGTGGGCCTTACACGCATTCTCTAGGCGAACAGGATAAATTAAAAGTGTACAAAAGTACTAGGGATTCAACACGTCTGCTTTTGCATTCACCCCTCTCTTATCCGCAGTTAGCTTGCAACTAAAGACGACTAGCTTGTAAATTGTTGGAAGGTTTGATAGCAATATCAATTACAACGGTACAATATATCTTTCGACTTTCTGTAGCACCTAAATCATACTCATGATGTACTGAGATTAGTCACACAAAGCTGCCCAATTTTCCACGAATTATGAATTGGGTTTGGAGCTTAATTAAGCTAACATGCGTCATGGCTTCCACTACTCAGCACTGAAGGCAAAATTAACATTATTGTCTAACTACAAACTAGTTCAGGCCTGGCGCTCGTCGATGAGCTATTTGTTATTCTAAGCAGCTGGCAAAAACGAATGAGATTTACAATATTTATGCGCTCACTCAAACTCCCGAGCAAGGCGATGTTTGTACTGTCTCGAGCACGGCGATGTCGGTACTGTCTCGAGCAAGGCGACGTTGGTACTGTCTCGAGCAAGGCGACGTTGGTACCGTCTCGAGCAAGGCGACGTTGGTACCGTCTCGAGCAAGGCGACGTTGGTACCGTCTCGAGCAAGGCGACGTTGGTACCGTCTCGAGCAAGACGACGTTGGTATCGTCTCGAGCAAGGCGACGTTGGTACCGTCTCGAGCAAGACGACGTTGGTATCGTCTCGAGCAAGGCGACGTTGGTACCGTCTCGAGCAAGGCGACGTTAGTACCGTCTCGAGCAAGGCGACGTTGGTACCGTCTCGAGCAAGACGACGTTGGTACCGTCTCGAGCAAGGCGACGTTGGTACCGTCTCGAGCAAGGCGACGTTGGTATCGTCTCGAGCAAGGCGACGTTGGTACTGTCTCGAGCAAGGCGACGTTTGTAATGCCTCGAGCAAGGCGACGTCTGCACTGTCTCGAGCAGGGTGACGTTTGCAGTGTCTCGAAAAAGGCGATGTTTGTACTGTGTCGAGCAAGGCACTAACATATGAAATAAAAATGGAACGTTTGCTGCAGCAGGGCCGTCAGTACATAGTTGATTCATATGATCATAGTTATTATCAGCAATCATTTGTATGATGAACTACATCATCAGCACGGCGGCGGCACGGTAAAACACTAGTTATCTAAAGCGTTTATCGAAGAACCATGATTTATCACGCTGCCTGTTACTTTGAAGTACAAGTTAGATTGTTCACTTCCAGTTTATTGTCATACACCGGTGCACATTTATTGTATGTAAATCGTGTTTATTGGAATTTCTATTACACGCGACGAAAAAAAAATGCTTTGAGGAGGAACCTGTTCTGTTGCTCAAACTTGAGTGTGTATACCAATGGAAAAAAATTTCCTGCAGTGACCGATAAATTAGTCATCAGGTAAGCACACGGTCATTGAACTTGATCACTCATCACGAAGTCTCGGCAATAGTTGACGATAGTTGCACATCTGATTTAAAGACATAGTGCAATAATTATCATCAAATGATTACTTCCATTTGACTTGCGTTGAAAATGATGAAAATAAGATATATGGACTAATGCCCAAACATTTTCCTAATGAAAAGTGAAGCTTTGAACTTGGGTTTACGTTGCTTAACAACTAGTTTTGTATCTGCACACTTTCAGGTCAATACGGAAGTGACTAATTAGTACTATGGCGTGAGCCGAGTTCATAGCGCAGTCATGACTGAACCGTGGACCAGGTTCCGGAAATATTCAGTAGTTCAGCGATTACAAATTATTTTGCCAAACGGAATTGTTTGGATTCGATTTGTTTCATGTTCACTGATCTGACAAGATCGTAAGATTCTACAATTCGTTATGAATGATAGAATTGTGCGTGGAATGATCTTTCTTGCCGAGGTTCAATAAAGATCTCACAATTAACACAATTCTTTTAATTAAACGAAAAATAAACACTCAAATTAAGAACATTTGAACAAAGTTATAAAGAGCATCCCCCTATCAAAATTTTGAGGGTGGTTAGCTTCGGAATTGAAGACGCCTTTAGCTCGCCTAGCGCGTAAATTAGCGGCTCTACGTGCGCTTCTTGTGGGAAACGAAACGATTGACGAGCTAGCGACTCACAGTGCTACGCAACACTGCTACGGCAATAATTCGTTGGTAGGCAGGTTGATTAATAGTCATTCAATGAACATCACATCAATATTAAACATCGCTGAGGTCATTTGTCAAAGTTTATTCGCACTGGAGTTTGAACAAAATTTCGTACAGATACACCGTTGAAAACATTTATTAAGCAGTACACAATGAATAAAACTTTGCAAAACCATTTACACAGTTATCACCGCATTATCTACAGAACAAAATTTGCGTAATACACTAATGATTATAGTCTCCTCAATGCATGGGCATTCTTCTTCTCCACTGGGAGTAATTAATTCTATATATAATCCATCATCATTTGAAAACATTTTGGAATCGAAGGATAACACAGCAATCCTGTTTGTACTTGTCATCGTTCGGTCATCATTTTTACAAGCAATTCTTGGCCGTTGAATAATATTGCGGGAGTCTTCGACATCGAATATGAATGTGCTATATTTTGATAGTACACAGTTGTGCATTTGAAATGTTAGTTTTGTACTAGCAATGAATGCTTAGTAATCCATTGTTAATTATTTATTAATAAATATTATTACATTATTAGGTAGTTAACTCATTCTAATAGATCGTCAATCATAAGAGGCAAGAGGAAAAATCTACTATATTCAGAGTATTTGATAAGTTCTTTTTCAAGCTCAAAAGAACTACACCCAGTGCCGCCTCTGTTGATTTAATAATGGAAATAATATCCGCTGGCATTAAATCTTGGAAATTTCACTATCTCAAAATCACTCTGGGACCCATATGTGCCTAACATGACACGCGCTGTCACGAAAGATCGAGTTCATACTCATCGTATAAGACATGCACACCGTAATACAATTGTTCACCAATTACTATCTTTACTAAGTCATACTTAAGTCTTCCGAATCGTTGCACAAGATTTCTATAAGAAATGGTGTATTGAAAAAGGTTACCTGATGCAACAAGATACATTGAGCCCCGCTGAAAAATGCTGTAAAAGAACTAATAACAACTCGGTGACCTGGTGATTCTTTAACCTGAGCATCGCACAAATACTTTTCACATTAAGGAATATTTTGAAAGAATAAAATTAACGTCGTGGCAATAAAAAAATTTATAATCACTCGGCGCTTTCGGCTGTTCCAAACATATTGTGTCCAAGACACTAACACACCACGATCAAACTTGACGAATACAAAAATATCATTTCTACGATCATCAGTTCGAGCCGTTAACAGTTAATCAACTATTAACGCTATCAACAGCTAATTAAATGTTAATAGCGTAGATTCTAAACTATATTTTTTTCGAACACCTATTTAATATTGAATAATTAAAAGAACTAATAATACAAGATTAAACTATTATTATTTTCTAAAACTTAGTCTAAAACTTATGATTGAAACATTCTAAAAAGATCTCATTATCAACGGTAATAGTCTCTAACTAATTAGTGTTGAACACTTGACCTCCATATTCGACATTATAACCGAAGAAATCACCAGCTAGAATTGCAATATTTCCAATTTTGATCCGTTCATCCTCATATAACTCGCTCAGAACAAGGGCCAAGAAAATGTCTGCCCAGGTCATTTCATTCTGCGGACACGTGCGTGAGTTTGCTAAATCATCAAGAAAACTGAGCGGAACTGTCTTACTTAGTGACCCAGTGAGTATTTTAAAATAACACTTTCAGATCTCAACATTGTCAAGCTTGCCAAGTCTTTTAAGATATAATATCAAAGCGCCGTTATGACGCGCCGTTACCAAGCCCTCTCAGATATCTGCATTAACAGCAGGATTGCTCTCTACCTACCTTGGTTGGTCACATATATACTCAGTCACATATATTTATATATACTCACACTAATCTCTTTTTGATAACAGATGATACTGCCTCTGTGCTCCCCTAATTATAATCCTGACTTATTTTACATGCGACTGATATCTCTATTACTCACCAGTTCACGGATGAATTTGATGAGATCGTATTTCCTAATGCGGCCACCAACATTAACATCTAAGTTTTGTATCACATAACTTTTATAATAGTTGACAATCTCAGCTTTATTTTGAATGAAGGCAGCAGCTTCTGGGTTTTGGATGTTTGCTCCATTAGCTCCATCACTACCTCCATTTCCATATTCAGCATATCCGCGATCTCCTCTACGTTCCCATTTTCCAAAATTGTCTTTTGCTCTAATACCAAAGGCATATTGTCGTAAACACTCAAGATAAATGGAATTTCCTTGCAAGCCTCCAGTTCCTCCTGCACCACCTTTGCCCATTGTTCCATCTCTTCCATTGTTATTAAAACTTGATATCCCTAAATAGTTACCCAGCGTAATTAACTTAATTTCACCTGATCTACCACCGTATCCATTTCGTCCACCATCCCCACCATTTCCACCATATGTGCCGTCTTTACCGTAAATATCAATCTCAAACATTTTGTCCCAGTAAGCTAATAACGGTGTTCGATCAAATTTATAGATTTTACAGGCGAAACCTTCCGCTCGGCCACCAACACATAGTTCGTCGCATTTATAATTTCGATTATAGTGTCCCGTACCCTCTCTAGGAGAATCACCATCGCGACCACGTCCACCATTTCCACCATCCTGACCAGGACCACCATTCCCACCATTAGCCACAATATTCAACATTCTTCCATTCAAGAATGTTGTGCCTACGCCAAAGAAACTGCCAGCTGGTCCTCCAGGCAAGCCAGGCCTACCGTCAGCTCCCCGTCAGCCCCACTCAAGTTTATTGTTCTACGACCTATTACCTCCCATGTCGGGGCTATCATAACGAGTTTGAACTTTTCCCCTACTTTATTTAGGTTTCCGTCAATAAAAATTTTGTTCAGAGCTAATATTTCTGTTGTGCTACGTTTACAATTTCCAATTTCCTCTATTGCTTCACTAAGTCTTATGTAACCTCCTTTAATTGTGAGTTTATTTGATTGACACGAGACATGAAATTTGTTCAACGTCAAACTCGCCACTTGCCTCAAATCCTCCACTCTTATATCATCAGCCTGTATATTTTGTATCTTATTATATCCTATAACACCAAATGGTTCTATATTTTTCATAAATTGTCTGAAGTTATAGCGAGTTATCGATATTCCCTGCTGTTTACCGTCTTCTCCCCAGTCCGCAATATTGGCCACGTTGTATTTCATTCTATTTTTCTGTACTTCATATGTAGAGAACTTTTTATACAAATTGGTCAAGAATTCGTACCATCCTTGTGATTCCTTGAGATACGTCGCTGTTTCTT